GGTTTGGGGAGGTTCTGCAGTATAATTTCTATATGTGTACTAGAGAGTGAGACAAATCCATCAATACCAATATTGTCCTGGTAATTTTTTCTAATGTTTCTGCCTAATGTTTGAAATAAGTAAATGTGCTAGACATCATAGGTCATATAACACTATGGTAAAATATTATGTTGGAAATGGTAAATAGGTTTTATAGCTTAGGATAAAGTGTGTTAGATGTCAAAGATTAGAGAGCGTAATAGGCGAGTATGGTAGTGAAAAGGGAAAGAGGGGAGTAAGGGAACTAGAGCAGAGATTGGCAGAAAGGGGAGGGTTAAGGGGGTAGGTCATTGAGTGAATTACAGTTATTTGTCACTGGGGAAGATATAGAAAAAATATTCAAGGAAAACAGAGATGACTACTGGGAAAGTAGGAGAAGAATGCAGGGAGAGAGGGGGTATCAAATGTCAAAGATTAGAAAGTGTTATAGGAAAGTATGATAGCGAAAAGGGAAAAGAGGAAAGTAAATGAAGTAGAGCAGGGATTAGTAAAATTGGAAAGGTTAAGGGGGTAGAGCAATTGAGTGAATTGCAGTGTATCTGGGGAAGGAATAGGGACATTGTTCAAGGAAAATAGAGGTGGCTGTTGGCGAAGCAGGAGGAGAAGAATCCAGGGGATGAGAAATGGGGACTGGGGAAGGTGGTGAAATATCAGGATGAATGTCTGGAGAAGAGGGGTCTGGAGAAGGATACTTGTGATAGAGGGGATTCATGTGAGTATTTAAGTGGGAGTGGTAGTGGGTGGGGTATGTTGGGAGGGTGTACGAGGAAAAGGGGTGGAGGGAACTTGAGGAGGAGGAGGATGAATATCTGTAAATACTTTAAATGTAGAAGGTGTAGGAGAGGATGTAGTAGGAGAGGGTGGAGTGGAACGTTTAGGCTGCCTGGTATGACAAATAAAGTAAGGAGGAAGGGTAAATATCAGGGAAGTGGTAGAGATTGGAGTATCTGGATTTAGACTGGAAAACAAATTTGACTGGGGGATAGGGTGAGCAGACGTAGGATGGTTTCGGGTATAAGGGAGGGATACTGGGGGAGATGCAGAAATATCTTGTGAAGACGGTGAGGAAGCAGAGCAAAGGACTGTTTTAGGATAAGTCAAGAGAGAAAAGGCTTGTCGTCGTGTTTCTTGTCTGTCATCATGTAGAGTGAGGCCTACTTTAAATCTGAGTACTGCTACCTCACATTCAAGTCTATAGGCAGGGCAGCTCCTATAAAATGCATTATGGGAGTCCTGACAGTTGGCACATGCACATGACTAAGCAGAGCTCCTTGCATTAGACAATACAGTGACTGATTCTGTGTATATCATTTACATTTTACTACACAATTTCCCTGCCATCAGGCCAAGAATTAGGGGGTTGAGGGGGGGGGGCTTCTGTGCAATAAAACCTACATAAAGACACCGGAATCATAAAATAGTGTGTTTTCTCTTGAGCTGGCCAGCAGAGGCCTTGGAGGTTCCTTGTTGTCCTGCTGCCCTGGACAAGTCTGGACGAGCAGTTCCGAACGCATAATAATGCTGCATTCGGAACTGCTCGTCTATCGCGTCCAGACCAGTTGGACAAGATGTTTTGACCATTCGGAACCTCCACTATCTCGTCCTGGACAAGTAGTCTAGCTCGTCCAACTCGCCCTCCTGCGAAGGTGGGCGAGCAGGACGAGATGATATCACAATAGAATTTGTATGTAAACATTGACAGTTGCAGGTAACCACAAGATATTGGCGGGTAATTTTATGACCCTTTAATGGTGTTATCAAAGGATATTTTTGTGTTTGTCAGTTACAGGTAAGTTAAATATGCATCAAAGAAGTTAAAAGCCTATGCAGCGTGTAAAATAAAGACACCAGTATAATAAAAAAGTGACCGTTTACATTCGAGCCGGTTGCATTCTGGGCAGAAAGGGTCTTGGAGGTCCCGAACGCGGTCCACTTGTCCTGCTGGTCCTGGACAAGATGTCTGGACGAGCAAGATGTGCAGTTCCGAACGCAGCATAAGAGGCAACTCATACTTCACGATTGAAATTTAAAAAGGGACACCTTATTATCAAATCAAAGAGCATGAGGAAGAATTGTAACTTGTCCGTCAAACGACATTGCTATCACATACTAAAAATGTTTAATACCGATTGGAAATAATATTTTAGAATCCTTTATTACTATGAGCCAAAATCATTCCTTACACAAGTGTTTTTACTCTTCTAATATCACATTCATCAAGCTGAATCAAATGAGTAAGAATGAACAGGAAACAGACGAGGAGCGTAGAGTAATCAACGAATAAATAGCAAGAGAAATTCTAACCAATTTCAAAAGTAGACTTGAAGGAAATGTAAACAAACACAGACTGACTCAATGGTTCTTTATTCTTTTAATTTTTGTTTAGATGCTTTCTCATATCTATAGAAGGGCTTCTTAAACCTCATCATATAAATCTGAATTAATCTGTGGCATGATGATAAAGCTCCTGGATTAATTGTTAAAATGAATTTCAGAGCTTAAATGATTTATTGGTTTGCGAAATATCAAAGTATTCTCTTCAAATGTAATGCATATTTAAATACAATTAAATATATGAATAAAAGTTTTACTATCGATGATCAATATTCTATTATACAAAACAGTACTTAGGCTCGTAGTTTCTCATTATTTTTATTCGAGTAACAAATCATTTACTGTCTTTCTACTTAAATGCCGTATCTATTTAGCCACGGTATAAATAACGATATAAACAACGATGCACAAAATTGGTATGTCTAAAGCACATGTCCATACAGGGCAAAGATTTAACGATAAATCACAACTTCCAAACAGATCGACACAGAACAGACACAATAGAGAAAATGAGTATTTATTTCATCGCTCTTGGAAGATAAGCCCGAAACATGAATGAAAATGGCAAGACAACCACCAATAGAGCAGAACCATTAGACAAATGTCAATGAACAACAAGACAGAAATGTTTAAAAAGTAATATATGTAAGCAATAGCGATAAAGGATTATTAGACACCAGTCGGTTAAGGAGGAATTACCGCTCATAGTCGTACATTTGTGAAAATAAGCTTATGATATAAACATATTTTAAGCAAAATAAGCGAACGTCACAGAAGAGAAATAATGAGTTTAATTAACTTTCTTGCGTAATAAACAGTAGGCATCGTCTGCAGTTAACATAAAAGACATACACAAAATGCATGCACCAGATAACGGAATAAATACTATCACGAGTATAAAAGATACAATAAACGGAATAAATAGCAAGAAAGATGAATAAAAGGGAATAAAAGGAAATAATCCGATCGCGTAGTAAGGAGTCGGCGTGGTATCGTCTGCAGTGCGCGTTGAGACGTGGGAGTGAGAGGTTGTGTTGCGTTGCTGCTCGTGGAGGGATTGTTTCTCTTGTGTTGATTTCTTAAATTAAAGTCAAGCAAATCACTGGAATATATAAGCCACATTCGGAAGGTGTATGCGGATCTCGGCGAAGGAATTGGCGGAGAAGAGAAAAGGGTAAGTTAGACAGGGAGAGAAGGGAATTTGTTCAGGGTTTGTAAACACGATATTTTTTATGTATTGTTTTTGCGTGCGTGGGTGTATTATGAGATATTTTGACATTTTCGTAAATTCTGGCTTTCGTTATTTCATTGTCATTAACAGAACAAGTAGGAGGCGTATATGTTAGAAAGGGTCATTTTTGTGAAAACGATATTTGAATGTATGTTTATACTGTCACGTTGTTGTCCCAAGATTTATTATTATTATTCTTAATGACCAGACTGATCTTGTTTTATTTTCGCATGGATTTCTTTGGTAATTTATAGAATTTAAGGAGTAAAGGGAAAAAGAGCAAAGTTTGAAGAGAGAGAGAGAGACCGTTTGGTGTGAACAGCAGGTGGTTGAACATTATGATGATGTCAAAAGTCTTGATTTTGATTTGTTTTGAATCACTTTTGATACAAGGGGATTTAGACTTGATTTTGGAATAACTGTTGTCAAATTTGTCTCTCGTGTTTAGGTTGAAGGGAAAGAGAAAAATTGGTTATTTGAAAAAACACCATGCATTTTAGTCTCAGGATTGTCAGTGAAAATGAAAATTAGGTTGTCTTATTTCTTCAATTTATTGGCAATATTTCAAAATATTTACATTTTTTTTCCTCATCACATATCTGTATTTTATAGCATTTGAAAGTGGATAATGATGCCATAACAGAATATAATTTTAGATGACAGATGAAGTTTATGTGTTTGTCTCTTTGCACATTTAATCTTCACAGTCTATCTAGGTGTGATTTTTTTTACATATTAGATTTTGTGTTTATTTTTATTATTTTCTCTCATTTTCTCTTTCCCTGTTTTTTCTCTCATTCTGTCTCTGTATCACTTTCTCTTTCTCTCTTTCTCTCTTTCTCTTTCTCTTTCTCTCTTTCTCTCTTTCTCTCTTTCTCTCTTTCTCTCTTTCTCTCTCTCTTCTTTCTCTCTCTCTCTCTCTCTCTCTCTCTCTCTCTCTCTCTCTCTTCTCTCTCTCTCTCTCTCTCTCTCTCTCTCTCTCTCTCTCTTCTCTCTCTCTCTCTTTCTCTCTCTCTTTCTCTCTTTCTTTCTTTCTCTCTCTCTCTCTCTCTCTCTCTCTCTCTCTCTCTCTCTCTCTCTCTCTCTCTCTCTCTCTCTCTCTCTCTCTCTCTCTCTCTCTCTCTCTCTCTCTCTCTCTCTCTCTCTCTCTCTCTCTCTCTCTCTCTCTCTCTCTCTCTCTCTCTCTCTCTCTCTCTCTCTCTCTCTCTCTCTCTCTCTCTCTCTCTCTCTCTCTCTCTCTTCTCTCCTCTCTCTCTCTCTCTCTCTCTCTCTCTCTCTCTCTCTCTCTCTCTCTCTCTCTCTCTCTCTCTCTCTCTCTCTCTCTTCTCTCTCTCTCTCTCTCTCTCTCTCTCTCTCTCTCCTCTCTCTCTCTTCTCTCTCTCTCATCTCTCTCTCACTCTCTCTCTCTCTCTCTCTCTCTCTCTCTCTCTCTCTCTCTCTCTCTCTCTCTCTCTCTCTCTCCTCTCTCTCTCTCTCTCTCTCTCTCTCTCTCTCTCTCTCCTCTCTCTCTCTCTCTCTCTCTCTCTCTCTCTCTCTCTCTCTCTCTCTCTCTCTCTCTCTCTCTCTCTCTATGTATTTCCCACACACTCTCCTCCCTCCCCCTCCTTCCCTCCCTCTCCCTATCTTCCTCTTTTTTTATTTTTATTTCCACCTATCACTTAGGGACAAGTATTTGGTAATTTAGGGGGATTGTATTATTCTTGGGGTGAATCAAAAACTTCTGTAAATAAAAGAAAGAAAGAAAGAAAACAAAACAGCTATAATTAGAATATTCCTCAGCCAAAAAAATCAGGTATAATTCATATAGAAAATATGTATAATTGTCTTTTGAAAATATCTAAGTATGAAAATATGAAAGAAAAAATTGAATATAAATAGTGAAGGTAATACCTTTAATTTGCAAGTATCTTCCTTATGATATAGGGGAATCATAATATTTGATTTAAGTTTTGATGGATTTAGTTTTTCTTCCTATTCTTTCACTTCACTGTGGATTCTTATGTAAATCAACTGTCAGTGTTTCATGTCATTTGTTTATGTTATTTTTGTTATAGTCATTCTGTTTGTTGCTTTGTTGCAATTCATATGTTTTTTGTTTGCTTTTGTTGTCATTATTATTATTGAGTCATGATTTATGTTTTTGGTATTAACATTGCCATTATTATTTTTTTTTTATGGTTATCATTATTATTGTTGTTATTGTTGTTATTATTGTTATTATTGTTGTTGTTATTATTATTGTTATTATATTATTATTATTAATATGATAATAATAATAATAATAATAATTATTATTATTATTATTATTATAATGATTATAATTATTATGATTATTATTAGTAGTAGTACGGACAGAATCCTTAGTGCTTTTGTTCTTCTCAGTATTATTGTTATTTTGTTATTCTATTTATTGTTCTTGTTGTTATTATTTTTTTTTTCATTTTTAGTTATGTTATTAATTTGTACTTTTATATTGTTATTATTATTATTGTTTTTGTTGTTAATGTTATTTTTTTATTGTTATTATTAATATTTATCATCACATTTTTTATTGTTATTGTTATTATCATTATTATTTTATTGTTATTATATTATTTTATTATATTATATATCACTACTTTTGTTTTTATTATTGCTATTGGTATTATTATTATTATTATTATTATTATTATTATTATTATGATTATTATTATTATAATGACCATTGTTGTTATTATTAAGATTGTTACCATTATTGTTCTTTTTGTTGTTGTTGTTGTTGTTGTTGTTGTTATTATTATTATTATTATTATTATTATTATTATTATTATTATTATTATTATTATTATTATTATTATTATTATTATTATTATTATTATTAATTATTATTGTTTTGTTGTTGTTGTTGTTGTTTGTTGTTATTATTTTATTATTATTATTATTATTATTATTATTATTATTATTATTATTATTATTATTATTATTATTATTATTATTACTTACTACTTACTACTATACTATTACTATTCTTTCTTATCACTATTCTTATTATTATTGTTGTTGTTATTGTTATTGTTATATTATTATTGCTATTGTTATTGTTGAAAATAATATTGTTATTATTGCTGATAATGATAAGAATGTTATCATCATCATCATTGTTGCGCTGTATTGTTATTATATTTGATATTTATTCTTATGTTGTTATTGTTATTATTGTTGTTATTGTTGTTATTATTATTGTTATTGTTAGTATTGATGTTATTTGTTCTCTTATTGTTGTTGTTATTATTGGTAGCAGTATCATTATTATCACTTTTATTATTATTATTATTATTATTATTATTATTTTATTGTTATTATTATTGTTATTATTATTATATATCACTACTTTTGTTTTTATTATTATTGCTATTGGTATTATTATTATTTATTATTACTATTATTATTATTATGATTATTATTATTATAATGACCATTGTTGTTATTATTAAGATTGTTACCATTATTGTTCTTTTTCTGATCACTATTCTTATTATTATTGTTGTTGTTATTGTTATTGTTGTTATTATTATTATTTGTTATTGTTTTTGTTGAAAATAATATTGTTATTATTGCTGATAATGATAAGAATGTTATCATCATCATCATTGTTACGCTGTATTGTTATTATATTTGATATTTATTCTTATGTTGTTATTGTTATTATTGTTGTTATTGTTGTTA